ACGAACTGCAAACATCTGGCGCTGTGACGCGTGTCACATGAACGTCGGCATATGTTAGGGAATATTGAATATCAACGTTGAAACTTTAGTGTAAACTTGGACTATTTTAAAATCTACGTGCAATTCGCAATGGAGTATATTTGTTCACTTTAAGATTTATATCATATCAATCTAGAATACAATTACGTGAGCTAGGTTCCTCGTGACTTATAATCTTAAAAAGTGGTTCGCTACCAGTTTGGACAAAAAAAAAGGAACAGGACAATTCTTCATCTCCTCTAAATACGTGATTCTTCAAAATGTATAACTAATGTATGATTTTGCTCGCATGACCGCGCTAAATTTGACAAAAAATCCCTCGCCCGCGATCCTGACTATGGCAAAAGCAAAGAACTGACTTGCTGGGGCGGAATTTATGCACACTGCCTAGTAATGGAAAGAGAGAAAGAACAAGCGAAGCGCGATGTAGTTCAAAAGAGCGTAGTAAATGTTATTCAAAGCCTATTCTGTAAAAATGTTGCAGACCTAAATAACCCTAGAATTCTTTTAGAAGAAAAAACAAACAGAAGTAGCGCTGCGTTTTTAGCGAAACAACACTACTCGCACTTAAACTGGAGGCGAACATTTTTAAGTAAGCAATTGTAGTCTCTTGAGTGCAGTAGCTAATACGGATTATTTACCGACGGCTCCAAACAACAATACAAATTTCATGCCTCAGACTAAATTCATCTAAAAAAAGAATCTTTTGAGCAGAAAAAAGAAACCAAGACGACATACCAAAGAAGCCGGGCTTGTGCTGATGGGATCCACTGCGAGTTCGATTTCTGGGACTGCGTACGGTAGATGACCCACTGCCTCCACGCATTCCAAGAGGAACTAGCTCAGCCGGTGGCTCATCGTCTACGCCATCCACATCACCATCACTCTCGTCTCCCTCGAACGCACCGCCAAAAAAGCGGTCCGTGTCGCGACCACCGTAGTACGACCTAGCAGAATGAATTTCAAGTTGAGTATTTGACTTTTTTCTGGGTAGAGAAGGTTCACCATTCAACGAGACTGACACGTTAGAAACTACCCGTGAGGTTGAGTCAAGAGAAATTTTTAAGACCTAATCTGCAGACCTCTGCAGCTCCGACCGAACCAACTCGCTTTAAAGCAAAAGTAAACAGTCAAGCGATAAGCCTTGACTATCACCAGAAGCAAAACAAACAACAAAGATATCCGAGGCCCAGTGACAAACGGATTACTCTACACAACTGTTTTAC